ATCAAGTAATATATGTCGCATCTTGCACTTCTTGGCCCTTATGTGAGGAATGTTGTTTTGTCTACGTGAACTAAAACATTTTAGAATGTAGGGGCCTTGTTCCTCATTAATACAGTCATCCATTAGTTCATATTTTATAGAAAAGTGTTTTGAATGAGGTTCAAGTTGCCTCAACTCTAAAGCAGCATTTTTTAAAACATTCTCACTTTTGTACTCTTTCTCAATATTGATATTAAGGAATAATGTGTAGTTGAATGGTTGGAATTCCTCTTTTTGATCCACTAGTTGGTCATTATCCAAGACAATTGGTAATTGGGCATCAGACGCCTCAATCTTTTTCTTCAAGTGAGTCTCCAAGTGATGAATATTTGAGCCAAATTGATCTATATCTTTTGTGAGATCAACTCTTCCTTCCCCTACAAGAAAAACAGTCTCTAAGGAAGGGAAATCTAGTCTCTAAAAGTCTATATCTAGTCCCAAATGCGAAGTAGAGACCAGAAAAGTCTGGTCGCCACTCGTTGCAACCGCCTTAGTCGCAATTGGCCTTTAGTGACGAGGAGAAAAGGCTGGTCGTTACATGGCATTGGAGACGGGGGAAAAAATCTTGTTGTGAAATCCTTTTAGAGACTATAATGACCTGGTCCTTGATTAGTTTTAGAGACGTTAATTACCTGGTCCTTGATTAGTTTTAGAGACGATAATGACCTGGTCCTTGATTAGTTTTAGAGATGAGAATGATCTAGTCCTAGATTATGTTTAGAGACAACAATGATCTGGTCCTTTATTAGTTTTAGAGACGAGAATATTTCAGGTCCTAGATTATTCTTTAGAGACGAGACATTTGTGGTCTTAAATTGTCCTTTAGAGACGAGCAACATTTCTGGCCCTAGATTGAATATCAGTGGCCCTAGGTAAATTGATATCACAATAAATAAAACTCTTTAACAAACACTAAATCTCTACTAAAACTCTCGATTAAAAAAAAGATATAGAAAGACAAAACCAAGAAGGTAGAGATAAAGATTGCGATTAATTATAATAAATTGGTTAACATCCCATGATGTTAGTTGCAGTATTTTCTTCAAAAAACTTATCTAACATATGAGTTTACACTATACTATTGAGTTTTGCATAACATTCGTAGAAAACTAATAACAAGCTTGTGCGTTACTTCCAAACTTGTATCTTGACTTGAAACTTCAATCTTCAAAATCTGCTGGTTCAAAATTTAAAAAAATGATAAATAAATCATGTATACATGTAAATTTTGTACTAGAATTAGGTCGATCAATCACCCCAAAAGCAGTTCAAATTTCACCAAGTGTTATCTAGAAACAACAACAAAAGCTGTAGAACATAAGAAAAAATGATCAGACAAACATTGAGATGAATTTATCAAGAATACAAATACTATTTGTGCATAGAGAATTTAATAAATAAAGAGGCAGTCCAAGAATGCAGCAGTGCAGACTATTGCATCTCTGCATAAGTACCAGTTCTCCTGTAAATATTGTTCCTGGTGGTAGTGCCACAAGTCTTTGTAGACACTTTTTGATAAAGTAATATATTTCCTTGTTCACTAAAAACAAAAGAGTGCAACAGTGCATAACAGGGAGAAGAAAGGTACACTGGTTTGTTTACAGTTATGATAGAAATAGTGAGAAGAAGGGAAGTCTATATCAGAACTTGAATTTTGTACAAAGTTTTGTTTATTGCGGGAATAGAGACCACGTCAATGACCTTGAGAATCTGATTTCACTAAACTTCCTTATTTTCAATGTATTATAAACGAGATGTTGAGACTATACCCTGCAATACCGCTTCTTTTTTCAGTGGTAAAGTTACCTAAAACTACTGTTATTCTACTAGCTAAGGTCTTATGGAATATTCGAACAAGAACCTCTCTACTTAACCAGATCTTAGAGGCTAAGTATTGTACTAACTCATCCAGTTGGAAATAAATTGTGATCTGGACAATCTCATATGTGTAAAAGGACGATGGAGGTTAAAAAATATTATTATCATCACATACTCTGGAAAATTGCTAAGGGAAATTGCTCTTTCTGGTAGGATAACTGGACGGGAAAAGGCCCCCTCTGTAACCTCCTTAATCATCAACAAAGCTCTAAGGATATCAAAATCTCGGACTACATTGAAAATGAAATATGGAATATGCCAAAACTGATGGATACAATTCCTTTTCACATTGCCGAGCACATTCAAGGAATCAAAATCCATGAGGCACACAAAGATGTCCCAGTCTGGACCCTTAAAGACACGGGCATATTTACATGTAAATCATCTTGGAGAAGCCTAAGGAAATTTAAAACAATATCGACTCGAAGCCACATATTGTTAGGGGAAAAGGATATGGGGAATGCACTAACCCCATTCCATAGTTTCTCATGACTGCTTAATTATACATGCATTCAGAACAACCTTGAACAACCCAGCCAACATGACATCAGTTTCTACTTTCTAAGGACACTGGCTATACTTCTGCTCGATTTGTTTAAGCTAATTCTATTTAAATTCTACAATTAGAACAAGAAAACTTGTAGAGATGAGGATGGATTCACCCAAATCTAGTTTATATATTTTAGCTGGAAAGTATTAGCTACCATCTTTTTTTGCCAGAATTAGTCTAAGTAGAAAATGACTATATGCAAATCAACAAAATAAACTAAAAAGTTGGGGATCTTGTTGCTTACTTGGTCAACAAAAAAGTAGAGGTCATTCAGTTGAAACAAAAGATGTCGCAGGTTGAACATGTGACTGTTGAGTAGCGATGAATTCCCTCATTTTCATTATTTCTTTCATCGCATTTTCTAAGGTAGACAAGCGATCATTCAAGGATTTATTTTCCTCATTCAAGAATTTGTTTTCTTCATTCAAGGATTTGTTATCCTCTCGAATTGAACGTAGAGCAGAAAATAGTTCAGCCTTTGAAGAAGTTCCACCTTTTAAATCGTTCTCATTACTCCACCCCCAAATCTAAATACATGGCTACGAGTTTGAGGTCCACAATATTTTTCAACAATCTCTATGCTAGGTAGAGATGGGTTTGCTTGAACAATTCCTTGAAGTTGAGCCTACGAAATATATAGAAGAACATTTTCTATCAAAACACATAACAATTTCAAGTAATAAAGATATTGAATTTACCAAACACACATGTTTTTCAATTGCTTCAGGTTCAACAAGCTTGTTATCTTTCTTACGAGTCTCAAAGAAAATGGTTGCCAAATAAGGTGGATTGCCATCTTTTCCTCCCTTTACATCAAAGGAAAACATGTCAAAGAACTCAAACCTTGTAAATATTCCATTTATGAAATAGTTTTATGAAAATACCTTTTGATAAATAATCTCTTGGATAGGTTTGCTACCAATATGATGAAGCATCGTCAACTTAGCTCTATTTGATGCATTCCTACTGCTTCTTTCCTGAATACAAATTTGTCTTAGTTGGTAGAATTTACTTTGTTTGGAAAGAAAGAAACTAGAAGATTTTCCAAAAGAAACAAATATAAGATTGAGGTACTGCTGCAATCTACTACTGAAAATCCACTTAGAAATCCATCAGAAGGGGAATTCACTTATCCCCTCAATGCTACTGCTGCAACAATACTATCATTACTACTAAATTGGAAGTCCAAGAGTAATAACAAATTTATGGACTTAGACCCTCAATTTACAGAACTACTTCTAACATTACTACCTCTACTTTGCATATCACTAAGAAGTAGTTCAACAAAGCGAGATTGAGGTACACGTGGAGCAGTCTATACCAAACGGGTGATACAACAATTCAAAGCACAATTACTATTTCAGCAACATGGATCAACAATTGGGTATATTTGGTGCTAATGAGGTAAATCAAGTAGTAGAAAAGAGTGAAAAATATACTATTAAATCAGTAGGCATACCTGGAAACTTTCAGAAGCAAAATGTTCCTTTACTAATCATTCCCATTCATTTTTGTCTACTCCCCTTGGAATATTCCCAAGAGACTGTTGAATAAGCTTATCCTTCACATATTTTGCATGCAAGTGTCCTCTCCATTTGTTCCATAACTCATTCATCCATCTCAAGATATGATCACGATGATCATTCATGTCAACACTCTCAAATTTATGCCAAAATAATCGAACTATGAGTTGAGTTATTAATAAGGAAAAAGTACTAGGAAAGGATCTCAAAGTGAAAAAGGGCTCTGTTCTACTAGAATAAGCAAATATTCCAGTAGAAAAAGAATTTCAGTTGTACATTTACTTATTCCAGTAGCTCATAATAATTCAAGTAGCAGATGTTCCAGTAGAAAAATAGCTCTGCATCTTCTACATCTACTTTTTTCTTTTTGGTCTCTTAGAGAAAAAAATCCAGTGATTCACATATATTTGATGCAGTAGCACATGGGAAATGTGAAAATTATTCGACAAAAAACTCTATATTTGAATCACATATACATTTGTTACCTTAATGACTGTTATATGGACAAGAATACTCAGATGTATCAAATAACAATAAAGAAGTTGAATCAGGTGACATTTGTTACCTCAACGGCTGCCCACATATGATTCAACTTTTCTTGTTTAATATCATTCCACGATGATACTCCCAATGGACATATATTACGATCACGAACAATTTTTCCCAAATGCCTCGAAAACAATTTGCTATTTGTTCCAACCGTTCAATTATTGTAAAAGGTTACTTTCAGCTTTTGTCCAATTTCAAGTGCAGCAACTTCTTTGCACATGTTTCTCCGTCAAATTCTTCTTACCTTTTTAGGATTAGGTGAACCTACAATTTCATAATTTGGTGAAGACTAGCGACCAAATTCAGTTCTACAAACTAATAACATAACATATGTATTAAGAATATCATACCTTTCTCAGTTGTTTCGGTGTGTTTCATAACTTGATCAGTAGATGGAGGCAATGAAATATTGATTTGCATATCATGTTTCTAACTAACCAAGGGATTTCTGTCCATTTTTCGCATTTCTTGACTAGAAGACTTGGTAGTATTCGATCTTGTACTTTTAGAAGACATTGTAGACTCAGATCTTTGCTCTATTCCCTTTCCTGTAGCACCTGCATATGAGAAAATGTAATATAACAGTTCCTCAAAATACAATAGTTCTGGAAAAAAAACACAACAGAGTTGAAAACAAACTCACTTGTTTCAACTTTTTTGGTGTATTGCTTAACTTGATTAGTACATGTAGGAGATGGAATATTAATTTTCATGTTCTCTTTCTCAAGAGCCAGGGAGTTCTTATGCATGCTTTCCATTCCGTGACTACTAGACATTGTAGAACTTTTATGTCCTAGTCCTCGAGTCTTCCATATAGAACGTAGAGAAAATAAATAATATTATCAATACTTAACATAGTGTTTTGGAGCATGAGAAGCTGAAGAACAACGACAAGAACTCGTTGAGAAGAAGATATTGTGAAACAGAGTGTAATAGCTAGGTTGTACAAAGCGATTACTAGTTGAATATAACTTTCTGTTTAACAAAAAAATATATCTTACTTGTTTCAATTTCTTGGATGTAGTGGTCAACAAGATCATTAGATTGAGAAAATAACTTCTTAGCAGGCATATTCCCTTTCTCACCCAACGATTTAAGTCAAAGTCCTCATCCTAGTCCCTTTCCAATAGAACCAGGCGCAACAAATGTATATCTCAAAGTACTCTTCATAGTTCAACTGTCCTCATTTTCAGTCTTGACTAATTTCATCTTGAACATGCAAAAAAGTCTAAAAGTAAAAAATAATAACGAAAAATGTCTGACAGTGTAGTTACAAAATAAATCATGCTTTCATAAAGTGTAACAATAAATATATCAATTCATAAAAAAAGATACTTTACCTCATTAATTCGTTTTCGTTTCTTTTGTGAAGGACTTCCTAACTCTACAATATCATCATTCATTTGTTTGATAATCTCAAAGGAATCACGAGGTTGAGTCTTCATAACGACTTGCCAACCTTTGTTGGAATTATCATTAGCATAGAACACTTGGGATGCTTGGTTTCCTAACACAAAGGGCTCATTAATTTTCAAAAATCTGCCCGGATTAACACTCACAAAATCATACTCATCCTTTTTACCTCCTTTTATTTCATCATACACATCAAACCAATTACATCGAAATAAAACCACTCTTCTATCCATGACAAATTGCAACTCAATCACATCTGTTAATACACCGTAGTAATCAAGGTTGTCACTATCTTTATCATTCTCACCCAATACAACAACGCCACAATTTTGAGTCATTAACTTCTTATAATAATCTTCTACATGAAATCTATATCCATTAACAACATAACCATTAGAATGCCTCAAATATTGTGTAGGACCGCGTGAAAGTGACAAGAGATCTTCCATCATACGACTATCGTCTCCTTTGTGCAATTGTGTGACCTATTAACAATATTGCATTGATTATTTTAGAATTAGGATTAACATATTTAAATATCAAATTTGATGTTTATGTATTACTCACCCTATCTTTAAACCATTCAATAAATTGTCGGCTCCATTCTACATCACACAAGTGTCGAGCATTCTCACGAGTTTGTGCAAACTCTCTACAAAATTGAAGTGAACCTTAAATCTCATATAGAAAGGAAATTATCCTAAAGGAAATGATAAAAATAAGATGATATGAAAGAACTCTATATACTCGAGAAATGGTAAGACTTCATCACAATTCTTCAGTATGTATATATCTTCTTGTTCTAATTCATCTGCTTCAAGCTCACATGGAGTTTTAGCTCCTAGAGTTCTTTCGGGTTGACAAAATGTAGATAAAACTCCACTAAATCGTTTTAAACCACCATCAAAATTTCGTTCAGGTTGATTGAACTTTGTGTCAATTCTATGCAGATACCTCAAACATAAGGTCATGCATTCAATTGCAATATAGCCTTTTGCAATACAACCTTAAGGACATACCCTATTACCAATGAGAGATTTCAAAAAATACAACCATCGTTCCACAGGATACATCCACCGATAATGAATCGGTCTAGCAATCTTAGCTTCACTAGATAAATGAATAGGTAAGTGCACCATGACATCAAAAAATGAAGGAGGGAAGACCTTTTCTAACTTGCAAAGTGCTATGGGAATTTGAGCTTCAATATGATTCAAGTTATCAATTTTCAACTCCTTTGATCCAAGAACACAAAAAAATATTGACAACTCAATAAGTGGTTCACACACTTCTTTAGACAACATACCACAAAGTGCAAGAGGGAGTAAATGTTGAAGAAGAGCATGGCAATCATGACTTTTCAATCCAGATATCTTGTGTTCTTTTAGGTTCACACATTGAGAAATATTAGATGAAAACCCATCAGGAACCTTTAGATTTTTTAAGAAAAGGCATAATTTGTGCTTATCTTCAGGAGACAATATGTAGAATGCAGTTGGAACTTCAATTTTCTCCCCATGTTGAATTGGATGCAATTCCGACCTAATGTTCATTTCTTGCATGTCTAACCATGTTTTAATTGTGTCCTTGGTCTTTCCTTTGACATTCATTATTGTACCCATAATATTTTCACATATATTCTTTTCAATATGAATAACATCCAAATTGTGTCGTAACAAGAGACACTTCCAATATGGAAGTTCAAAAAAGATACTTTTCTTGTTCCAATTATCCTGCCGTTTTTCATGTGAAATCTTCTTCCTTTTCTTTGGATCTTTTGATAACTGAAGCCCTTCAAGATCTTGCACTTGATCAAGTATCTCAATACCAGAACATATTTTTGGTGCGGGGCCTTTTCCTCTTTGTTTCCATCAAATGTCTTCGTCTCATTCCTCCATTTATGACTATGAGGAAGGTAACGTCGATGACCCATAAAACACTGCTTCTTACAATTAGCCAATCGAATTGAAGAAGTATCTTTATTGCAACATGGACATGCCAATTTTCCTTTGGTACTCCATCTAGATAAGTTTCCATATGCTGGAAAGTCATTGATGGTCCATAACAAAGAAGCATGCAACTTAAAATTCTGTCTAGTTGATGCATCATAAGTCTCAATACCAACTTCCCACAACTCCTTCAATTCTTCTATTAATGGCTGTAGATATGTATATATTGCATCTCCAGGACCATTTGGGCCAGGAATAGTCATTGAAAAAAATGAAATTTTCTTGTTTCATACAAAACCAAGGTGGTAAATTATAAGGAATAAGAACCACATGCCAAATGCTATGTGAGGTTTTGAATTCCGAAATGGTTGGAATCCATCACTAGCAAGTCAAAGTCAAATACTACGAGGGTCAAGTGCAAATGAAGGATGAAGTTCATAAAATGGCTTCCATCTCATTGAATCAGCTAGGTGCCTCATAATTCCATCATCAACTCTTTCATCATTATGCCATGTCGTTAGAGCAGATGTCTTTCTAGACATAAACAACCTCTGAAGTCTAGGTTTTAAGGGAAAATAGAGTAACCTCTTTGAAGCTATCCTTTTACCTTTCTTATTACTTGTTTCCCCACTATATGTATTTATTTTCCATCTAGACGCACCAAAAACTTTGCAAGAATCTGTAACAACCGGAAAAGTAGTAAGTTGAACTAGAGCCTAAACGTAATGTCAAAGAGGTATAAAATGAATTACCCTAAGTTAGTAGACCATCTAGGTGTCCTATGGGGGTTTATGAGTTAGGGCCTAAGGGAGGAGTGCAAAGCAAAAGGGGCAAGCCAAGGCCAAAGGCCAAGGCTGCCCCAAACTTGGAACTACTGCCTCAAGCTCTACGGCCATCACCACGGCTCGTGGTCATGACTACGGGAAAGTGGGAGGCTCCGTGGAGTTTCCTTGGCCAAGGGAGAGGGACCTCCAAGTGTCCTAGACACTGCCTTACCCTTCACAAGAGGGACCACGAGTTGTGGTCCACTTCATGACTCGTGAAGGTGGGCATGGAAGTCCCTTTAGATTTTAGGAAGTTGGGGGCGTTTGGAGTAGCTTATGTCCAAGGCACCACGGGCACCACCACGGGACGTGGTGCACTTGGCGATGGAGGAAGGTGGCTCGTGAAGGTCACTTGGCACCAAGGCTTGAAGGACTTGCCACCACAAGATCAAGTGATGACTAAGGCCATCACCACAGACCGTGGTCCTCACCACGGATCGTGGGAGGCTCCGTGGTCTTTCCTTGGCCAAGGGTTGGCTTGTCCACGAAGAGGGAGCTACTTCCTCCAACAGCACGGGCAACACCATGGCCCGTGGTGCATCTTCACGACCCATCAAGGGTGGCCGTGATCCCTGACGAGGACCATTCAAGCGAGGAGTTTTTGGACATTTCCTTTTTAAGTAGGGGTGTTTTGGGTATTTTAGAGGATAATTATATATTGGTTTTTAAGTGTAAATTCATAGGTTTTGGTCACTATGCACAACACCCAATTGAAATCAAAACTCTCCCACTTCTCTCTAAACTCTCTCTCTAAAAACTCAAGAAGAAGAAGAATACAGTGGAGCTAGGGTTTCAAGGTTATTTCCTTAATTTCTTGGAGTTTCTACATTGATTCTTAAGGAATAAACAAAAGTATGGTTGCTCTTCACTCTTGGGATCTTTTCCCCAAGAGGCCCTGTCAAAATTGGATTTCAAAGTTCCCCAATTTCTAGGTTTTCTCACAGTTTCGTGGGTCACTTTCCAAATCTGTTTTCATTGAATTAGAATGATTAATTATGGTTGTATATGATGATTTGTGGATGAATTAATGTCATGTTGATGATATTTGAACAAACCCCCCACCAGACCCATGATTTCCCCTTTTTTCTCACTTTAAACCCTAGTATAACTTTAATGGTGAATGAAGGATGAGAATCCAATATATAATTATGGAGTTCATTATGGTATTATGATGTTTCTCTATATGATGAATGATTATCATTGACTTAGGGTTGAATCTTGATGTGATCCTTGAAGGCTATGAATGAAGATTGTCAAATTGATGAATGTTCATATAATGAATTGTTGATCCACTTATGGTGAAGGTGCTACTTGATTATGAATTTTAGTGATTGAGTTATGTTTCCTCTTCCCTATAACCCCAAATGTTGACAAGTATGCTATGAAGTGAACATGAGTGTTAAGCTATGATTATGGTAGTGTTGGTATGATGAATGGAAGGTAAATCTGATGAACACTATATGACTATGCTATGAATGAACATTGTTATATGTTGATGGTTCTATGATGAAAGGTTATTCTCATCTTAGAACTTTTGA